TGAAGCTGGTTCTCCATCTTCTGCCTGTAGCTGTCCTTCCCATTCCTTATCAGTCCCCTTATTTTAGGGGAAAAAGCAATAAAGTTCAATTCTTTTCAGCGTTTTAATGATGAAACCTAATATCTTTTAATCTTTGCAGGCCAGTAACAATAACAATAAGGTTTTTGTTTTTCAAAATTGGGCAGACGTAAAGTACTTAAAGTACTTGGAGTTTTACCAGCTCGGATGGAGTTAATAAAATGACTAGCTTGTGCTTTTGTTTGTCTAAAGCAGCAAAAACAGCCTCTTGACTTATCCAGCATTGAACTCCACCGTATGGAAACATCCTGTATGAGTGGCTCTTTCTGTTGCCCCACTCTTGTTTGCTCCCAGTGTAGTTCCTCCATATTAGCAGAGCAGACCATGTGTTGAGTTTAGAATGAAAACAATTTAGTACTATAAATAACAAGGAATTAAAAAATGCCATTTAATGAGTAGCTCATTGTGGCTTGTTGATCACTTCAAAAATTAGTTGCGGCATTTAGTCCAAGAAAATGCAGGTGACGTATTGTTACCTTCAGAATAACATTTAAAGACAGACATTTATGAGGGTTTGTTTGCTGGTTGAAAGTGCATGTAGGTGGACTGATACAGGTATCAATAATATCTATGCGATTGCTGGTATTTCTATCTGATCGATACTTTAATTGTAGGTTCAGTGTGTTGCTGTTCTTCATTAGAAAGAAGACATGTTTGTGCATCTTCTCCTCCCTGCTCTGCTGTGTGGTGACTCGGCAGCTCAGAAATTTGCCTCAAAAGCGTTCAGATGTAGATGATATGATCCCAAGCGTAAACTAAGATGTACAAATGTATGCAGCGATGTGTGTGCTATGTTTGAGGACTCACAAGCCCATGCTTCAATCCACACACAGATAGGAAACAGTCTGAGAACACATAAAATTATCTTACACATGCGTACATCCTCCATAAAATGTTACTTTTCATTCGTCATTTAAACTCTGGGTCAAACCCAAAATATTTGATTTGAGTTTCTCTTTGTGTGTCCTCAGTTTCCCAGCATGCTCTGGCTGTGGTGGTGGAGGTGAATGAGGGGGAAAGGTCTGTCCTGCTGCCCTGTCTGTTCTCAGGTTTTATACCTGAGGACACCACAGTGATGTGGACCTCCAGTGACCTCGATCCCAAATCTGTACATCAACGACGAGAAGGAGGAGACGATGTTAGAGGACAAAACCAGCGTTACAGCAGACGCACATCAATGAATCGTTACGCTTTCATCATTAAAGACTTCAGCCTCACTCTGAGGAAACCCACAAAGACTGACAGCGGCAACTACACCTGCTCCATCAGTGCTGGAGGGAAAGAACGGAGACTTAGAGACATCCAGCTGCAGGTCAAAGGTCAGCAACAAGCCCAACACCTGCTGTAATTACAGGGCAAAAGGCAATACTGCATTCAGAGGTCAAACTGAAGAAAATGACTTCCTTAAGTGTTCAAAAAGTACTGATGAAACCCGCAGCATCATTTAGCACAGATGTAACCTCAGTGGAAACACAAACAACAAAGCAGAAGATGACAGCAGAGAACTGCTGCAGCCTCTGGAAAATGTGACATTACACTCATGGAGGTCCTTCAGCTTGTGCGCAGATGTGTGTGTTCAGCTCAGAGAGGCTTAGCACACACATTTCTGTACATACATTACTAGATGACATTTTGTACAACACCCAACACAAAACATTTTTCTGCTGCTTCTACAGTTTGTTGTGGTTTCTTGTCCTCTCAGACCAGCAGGCGGAGGTGATGGTGAGGGAAGGGTCAGAGTCTGTCATCCTGCCCTGCAACACAACACCTGACCTGCCTGAGGACACCGCAGTGGAGTGGACTCGCTCTGACCTCGGACTCATCACGGTCCATGAGTATTCTAACAGAAATGATGACATCATGACTCAGGATGAAGTTTACAGAGACCGAACGAAGATGAATGAAGACCTGCTGAGAACTGGAGACCTCAGTCTGACCTTAAAAAAACCCACAGAGAGAGACAGTGGAGGATACATCTGCACCATCTACAGAGATAAAGACATACTGAGACAGAAAATTGTGCTGCAGGTCAAAGGTCAGTGCTGTAGGAAGAGGTAAGAGGTCAATGCAGTAAACAGAGGTCAGAGATCAGAAGTCTTTTTTTTCTCCACAGAACAACTGTCATTCTGGGACGCAGTTCTCCTGTTTTGTCTTCTCGTGTTTCTTCTGATTTTCCTGCTTCCTTGTGTGGTTTTAGTCTTATTTCATTTTATGCAGTACTTCATGTCAGGTGAGTGTCTCCTACTACACTACCTATAATGCCAATGGTTAGCAGGTGTCCTCTGGTGGCTCCTTGACTGTAGGGGTGTCCAAATTCATAGGCTGCATCCACCTGAGGACCCGGCCTTCGCGGTCTACCTGGTCTGGCTCTTCAGCCTTTAGTTTGTGTCACCAGCTGTCTTGGTGGAGTTTAATAAACTCGGCCGTCTGCTCCTTGCTATCTATAATATAACAGGACACTGGTGTAAACTCTCGACCGTCTCACACTTCTGTTTAATCAGTTTTCCGGTTGACGTTTATTCAGCTGTGTAAAAACCATAACTTTAATCTCAGCCAAACTGATTTACTTACAAACAAATAAAACACTGGAAAAAGCCAAACAATAACATTTTTGAGTGACTTATATATCATGCTAAACCTGGGGGGTTTGAAAACGCTGTGCCGGGAGTTCGCTGTTCTCGCCCCGGCTAGCTATCGAGCTGGTGGGTAACAGACGTCTCCGAAAACGTCGGACCACTTTTTCAAATATGTGATGTCTTGATAAACCGAGCAGATATTTTGAAGTTTACTCAGCTACATTCTCGCCTGAAAATGTGTTAAAAGTTTTTTTTGTGACCCAGAAAGATTAATAAGAGTAATATTAAAACTAAGTAGTGGCCGCCATTGTTGGAAACTGGAATTGGCTGGCCCACACTATGAATTCTGGGATATGGTGGGCCACAAAGGATACGCCCAACCCATCCATTAAATTTGGGGGGAAAAGGATTTGGAGGAGTCTACGAATTTGGATAGCCTTCGTTGTGTCGCTGTGATGTAATCGGCCTACAGATGTGACAAATGTGACCTCTGAAGGATGCAGCCTAGGAATTTGGACACCCCAAACATGTGGCTCACACTCCTTCAGACTCAGTCATTGATCAGTGAAACAGCTCCACAACATGACTTTACTAAAGTGTGTGTGCTTCACTGCATTGATCTGACACAGAGGCTGCATGTGGACAAGCTGTTCTTCTTCTGTGGTGGTAAACAGCAGCTGACATGGAAACATGTGCTGACAGTAAATGTTGCAGCAGCTTCACTAAATGTTCCTCCTTGAGTTGTGCTCAGTCATGTGGTGGAGAGCTTCAGATGTTCAGACACATGAGATCTTCATGGTTTCTGTGCTGATGTGTGTGAGACATGGCCGACTGTGGAGGCTCAGTCTGTCTGTGCTTCTGCGCTTCATCCAACATGTCTGCAGCACTTTACAGGACGCTGCAGACTAGTTACCAAAGAACGAGTCAGGAACACATCAGGAACAAACTGAGACACAATCTGACTGAGACTAGAAGACAAGGAAGGACAGGGAGGTCATGTGACCATCACAGCTGCTGCTGATGTCATCATGTTGTGCTTTGTTGTTTTCTCAGATTACGAGGTGAAGGTGGATTCAGGGGTGGAGTCTGTCCAGCTGCCCTGCAAAGCTATAGTCAGATTCCTCAAAGACAGTAAAGTGGAGTGGAAGGACAGAGACGACAGGAAGGTCCATGTGTATCAGAACGGCTCTGACCCGCCTGGAGAACAGGACCAGTTTTACAGAGGACGAACAAAGATGAAGAGAAACCTGCTGAAATTTGGAAACTTCAGTCTGACCCTGAAACATCCCACGGATGGAGATACAAACACCTACACCTGCACCGTCAGCAGACGGCAGGGAGCGAAAGATCCTGAATGGTTGATCCTGAATAAGAAAAAAGTGGAGCTGGAAGTCAGAGGTCAGTTCTGTAGTTCCAGGGTAGCGGTAAGAACATACTTAGTTTTCACTTGTATGTGACACCCATGACACCCAGTTGTGATGTTTTGTTTTTTTTCAGTTTAGTTTTTCTCCATATTTTATGAGTTGTTAATCAATTTCAGCTGTTCTGATGCTAATGAAATTAACAGCACAATGAGACAGCCCCAAGACATGAAGGGCTTTACAGATAATTGACATCTTCTCTGAATGTTTTTCACGGTTTTGCATTTAACTAGTGTCAGTGTCACTACTGGTAGCATGAGCCCATACCTGGACCCTACACAGGTTGTACGGGTAGACCAACTCTTCCAGGATGACACATGAATGATGTCATTGCCAGAAGGTTTGTTGTGTCTGCCAGCACAGCCTCAAAAACATGGAGGAGATTTCAGGAGACAAGCAGTTACACAAGGAGAGCTGGACAGGGTTGTAGAAAGCCCTTAACACATACGTGGGACTGGTAACTGCTCCTTTGCGCAAGGAGGGACAGGATGAGCATAGCCAGAGCTACAAAATGACCTCCAGCAGGTCACTGATGTGAATGTCTCTGACCAAACAAACAGAAACAGACTTCATGAGGGTGACCTGAAGGTCTGACATCCTCCAGTGGACCCTGTGCTCACTGACCAGCACTGTCGTGTTCAAAAATTTCAGGAGGAAATATCTGTATTTTAAAAAGCTTCAATTCGCTTTGGCAGTTAAAAAGTTTACACAGCGCTGTGGACCTCTGTGTGAAATCAAGCATCTTGTTCACAAAAAGGATTACACTGAACCAGGTGGTACAGGTTTTATACCACGACAATAACAAAGATTATCGTGGCCATCTTGCTCCCACACGGACGTGGCAGCTTTGCTGTCTCCCTGCGAATCTTCCCCATCCATGTCCGACCTCGTCTGGTATCTTCTGTCCTCTGTAAGAGACAGAAAGAAAACAACCCCTGCCTAGCCTTGATAATCTGATGTTATTATCTATTGTTCTTCTACTGATTCTAAGTTCTGGTTCAGGATATCTTGTTCAGACTCTCTAACCCAGAGACTTATAGAAAACCCATTATCTGTGTGTGTGAGCGTGTTGCAAACAACCTTCTGCACTCCATTTCTACAATATATCAGCCCAGACAGTCACGCCGAACGAAGCCTTCAACCTTCAAAAGAGGGAGTGCCAACTTTCACTTCATTACTTAAATCACGCTGCTGTTATTGTGTATATATTTATATTTCTTCATACATTCTTATATAGTTCTATATTGTGTATTTTGTTGTACAGTTATTTTATTTTCAACTTTAATTTATATATTTTATCTTATTCTCCCAGTTAAATTTACCCTTCATTCTAATTTGTGTTGTACAGTTATTTCCTTTTTAACCTTAATTTATATTTTATTCCTTCCTAGTTAAATTTACCCTTTTTAATTTTTCAGATTTATTTCCTATCTTATTCATAGCCTTTTCCTTTTTTGTTTTCTTTAGGTCACGAGCAGTTGTCCAAGCATTTCACTACATATCGTACTGTGTATGACTGTGTACGTGACAAATAAAATTTGAATTTGATTCATACGAGCACATTTGCAGTGTGTATATAAAGATAATTAAAGCAGCTTTATTTAGTAGAAAAATCAAACATTTTCAGCATTTGCCATAAAAGACCAGCATTGGTAGGTTTCCACTATCACCCTCTGTGTTTCACAGACGAGAGCAGGTTTACACTCATGTGACACACACTCTGGAGAAACCATGGAGAACGTTACACTTCCTGAAACATCGTTCAGCATGACCGGCTTGGTGGTGGCTCAGTGATGATCTGTGAGGCATATCTATGGAGGGATGCACAAACCTATACAGGCTACTTACAGCAGTACTGTGCTATTAGTGAAGATTTAGTGAAACCAGTGAGAATATTTCAGGCTTTTTCTTTCAGTAGTTGTTCATGTTAAATCATTGCTTCAGATTTCAATGGGGTAAAAGTCATCTGGACTTCAGAAAATATGTCTTTAAAAGTATTTGGTATGTGAAGCTAAAATGTTTGTTGCTGCAGTCATTGTATATGTACCCGCTTTGGACCTGAAAGTTTTATATACAGGAGAGCATCGAGCAGAAGACCTGCGTTAATTTGAGATGGAGTTTTTCTTTTTGTGATTTTTTTTAATCTCTGTCTACAATTTTGTTCCTACACTAATATCAGTAAGTGAATGAATGAGTTTCAGATATTTTAAGCGCTCTCAGTACACTTAGTTATTAATACAGTTCATGTGGTTATTAAAAATGTTACAATCTTTGTCTCCTGTTAATAAAGTTGGATCAGTAGTGTGTCACTATGCACTTGAAATATATGTCGTACAGTTTACTAGTTAACCCCACAGAGCATCAGAGTCCTTGTAGAGTTTAGCTGTAGAGACACAAAGACGTGGGTTAGGTTTCACGTGTGATATGGATCCTCTGCTGAAGCAACTCTGATGGAGTCTTAGGAGGGCGGAGATACCTGCACAGATAGCAGCTGTTTCACACTTTAACAAGCAGCACCTCCAAACTACACCCTTCATCCACCTTAATAGGGGAGCATTTGAAGCGTCTAAAATGTCCCAGAGCGTCGGGCCGGGAAAAGACAGAGCGCACGCCTCCTTTATTGTGAAATTCCTCACCATGGTAACTGAACACATCAGCTGGTCTGCAGCAGGTTCAGAGTTTGAGGCTCAAAGTGTCCCATTTTCACTGATTGTTTCCCGACGACATGCTTCA